TTTTGCTCACATTATTAGGGGTGGAGCTACAGTTTTTTTCTATGGTGTTCAGCTGTAAAGGAGGAATTATTGTCTAAAAGCATTTTGTCTTGTTAGACTGCATCTTTCCTATCCATTGGTTAGAGAGAGTAGGCTTTAGTTGGAGCATTGTTAATACCCATTGGCATTTTCAGATTGCCTGCTTCCTCAGCTCTAAGTCTGTGATATATGACACAAATATAAACCCAGAGAATTTACCACCATGCTATGATTTTTTTCCCCAGGTCCCAAGCTAGTCTGCCTTCTCTTTATTATTCATAGTCTTCTTACATTTATTTATATTTAGTGTCCAAGGTTTTTTAGATATCTACCTGTAAGCAGATATCCCACTGGCCTAATTTTTAACAGATAACCTGCATTTTAAAAAAAAAAAAAGTGGGGGTGCCACAGAAAACATGATATGAATAGAAAGTAATAGGACTAGGTTTTTGTCGTTATTGTTGTTATATAAAATTACTGAAACTGACCTACTTATATGAGTGCTAATTCCTCGAAATCAGTAAGTTATCCTTTGGAGATGATTCTGCTTCCAAACATTTTTAGAACTCTTTTGGATATAATTTTAGAGAATGAATTGTGTTCTTTTGAACATTCTCAGTGGCGTAAATTGTAATCTTTTAAGGCGGTGTTTGATTTTTGGAAGCAAGCCCAGGTGGTTCAAGAGCCAAATGGATAATAAAACAGATGACCAAATTGGGTAATACAATATACTTCTTAGTCTAACACTCTTTTTTAAAAGAGCAGTGTAAACCAAATCAGTTTTACAGTGATAAAGCCATGTCTTTTATGTTATACAAAACCTCCCAAATACTTCCAGCTTTAACAGAATAAGCCTGATTGGCTGTGGGATGAATTTTGCATGAACAGTCCCATTTACTATCAAATCAACAATTCTTTTCTGTGGTTTTTGGCATAAATATTTTATTGTGTCCTATGAATATTGGAGTTTTTCCCTGTAAACTTTGATGGTTTTTTAGGGGGTCAACTTCAAAACAACATATTCTATCACTATTCTCCTCAAATACGTGTTATTTTGTACAACCTCCCCTTGAAAGTTCCAAACAAATGTCAAATCTTCTCTGTTTCTTTTTACTATTCAAAATGGGTAGCACAGGCTTTACAGAAATCTTCGTGTTCAAATTCCCCTTCGGTATGAGTCAGTGTTCTCATAGTTAGCCCTCTGCATGAATAAGTCTAGTCTTACATTTTCTACATTTTCATAGGTTCTTTGAACTTCATCATGAACATCTTTATTACTTTTCTCAAACCTTTGTGCCAGTCAAAAACAACTTCCTCTTTATAGGCCTTCAGAACCATTATTGTCCCTCTAGATATCTTGTCATTTATGTTTAACTTTATAAAAAATTGTGTTAATTCTTTGCTTTCTGCAGCTGTCATTCCCCAACATCATTCATCATAGCCTATAGCCCAAGAAAGACAAAAAACTGCTGCTTCTGTCTGCTGCAAACAGAATGACTTTACAGCATGTTCCTGTCATGCCCACTGTTTGTTTTGCCAAGCCATGTAAGAGCATGAGCTTAATTACTTCATAGTAATAGATTACTAAATACAAAACATCATTCTATTTACTTAACTATAAAGCTCGAAGTCACATTCCCATCATCTAAAACAAATGACAGACCTAATTCACTAAGTAGGGAGTTGCCCTTTGGCAAATTCAAGAGCTGCTAAAGAAATTATTCAATATTCAATATATCCTCTCTCAACAACCTGATTCTTTGTTTCCTTCTCATGGTTCCTTTTCAATTCATGGTTCAACCAATGGGGGTGGGTATCAACTTGTGGGGAAAGGGTTGCAGTATAATGTAGGGTTTACAAGGACAACCTTTGATAGACTTTGTTCAAACGATGTTCCTCCCAGGTTACCAGTTGTACAAATTACTTGGGAAATTTACTTAACCTCTTCCAACCTTAGTTTTGTCCTCAGTAAAATTGGATAGTAAAAATTACCTCTTAACACTATTGTGAAGTTTAAAGAGGTAATGTGTATATGGTGTTTTAGCACACTTCCACTGCGTGTTTGGGTAATAGCTATTATTTATTAAATGCCAGTTACTTTGTCAGTCATTAAAAACTGTAAGTAGAATATGATGTTTGCTGTCAAAGTGTTCAAAATCAGCATAATCCTGAGCTCACATCCTGTCCTATCAGAAGGAAAAAATAAACCAGAAAAGTAAGTCTGAAGGCTGTTACAACAGGAGTTCAAGGCTGTAGTGAGTTGTGATCACACCACGGTACTCCAGCCTGGGCAACAGAGTAAGACTCTGCCTCTAAAAAATAAAAATTAAAAATAAATTCAAATAACAAAGGCTATTGTAGTTCTCCACTATATTGCATTAGGATTTCTCCCTTGAACAGACTAGTACTGCAATACTGTAATAAAGTAATCCATAAGCAGTTACTAATTTTCTCATGTAGATTATACTCATAGAAACAAGCTATGTTCTAAATCCTTCTAAGTTTGTCTGGTTGGAAGAATGCTTTGCTTATCTATATGATCACTTTCAATTAAACTGCCACTTGTCACTCGACTGGTTCAAGCACTGACTGAAGACCCATGAATATTCTGCCAGTGGAAGCAGATATAAACTTTAAAATTAATTGATTTCTCAGTACAAAAAATTAGCTGGGTATGGTGATGCAGGACTGTAATCGTAGCTACTTGGGAGGCTGAGGCAGGAGAATCACTTGGACCTGGGAGATGGAGGATGCAGTGCGCAAAGATCACGCCACTGCACTCCAACCTGGGAGACAGAATAAGACTCTGTTGCCAAAAAAGAAAAAATACAGCAGATCAAAATGTGATACTGAGCTTATCATGGCTGCCCTCTTCTCCAAACAAAAGAACACAATGCTACTTATACCCTCTGGAAAAAAAAAAAAAAAAAAAAGATATTCCATGGCAGCAAGCAAGAAGTGAATTTGCTATAAGGAAAAACTTGACCAGCAGGGTGTTCAATCTTCTAGAAAGGCTGAAAAAGCTGCAATATTTCTTTCATTAAGATTTCTGAGAAGGGAATAGATACAACAGAGAAACAAATGAGGTTATCTTAGTTGTATTTATGAGGTTATAGTTCTGTAATCACTGGATATGTGTTGGACAGAGTTGGATTGATAATTGATTTCACATTCTGCTGGTATAGGCTGACGCCCTTTTTTTGTATCTTTTCTTCCAGTTTCTCATATCTGAGATATCTTTACTGCTTTCAAATGTAAACAATTGTAAATGATACCAAGACAGCCAACTGGACATCTAACTTATAATCAAATGGTTATTTTGCTGTACATATTGCCAAATAATAATTTTGAATATTTTCTTTTGAATATTTTCTTTTGTTTGGAATCCAGCAATATATTTTTCCTCTTCAAATAATTTTTCATTATCATTGTAGTGTGTTTTTTAAGTTGCTCTTATTTAAAAACTTTAAAATAATTAATTTTAATCTCTTCCATGAATACTTATCTAATAATTATCTTTTTAATCCTCCAACCTAACTTTTTCATAGTAATCAAAAATCTTGATTAGTCAGGAAATTTCACAAGCTTTCCTAGCTAATGAATTCAAAGATGAAATTTATTTTTGAATTCAAGTCACCTATCCTTAAAATATCAAGAGGAAAGAAAATGAATTCAGGAAATAAATCCTCAGATCTTTCAATAGTAATGGAAGCACAATAGAATAGTAAGCACAGCACTAAAATATATGTTTAAAATTATTTTTGATCAGCATTCATTTTCCATCTTAGACCTCCATGTTAAACCATTCTCAGTTTAGAAGCATGCTCTGGATCAGGTGCAGTAGCTCACACCTGTAATTCCAACACTTTGGGAGGCCGAGGCAGGCGGATCATGAGGTCAAGGTCAGGAGATTGAGACCATCCTCATCATCATGGTGGAACCCTGTCTCTACTAAAATACAAAAAATTAGCCAGGTATGGTGCCATGCGCCTGTAGTCCCAGCTACTAGGGAGGCTGAGGCAGGGGAATCACTTGAACCCAGGAGACAGAGGTTGCAGTGAGCCAAGATCACACCACTGCATTCCAACCTGCTGACAGAGCAAGACTCTGTCTCAAAAAAAAAAAAAAAAAAAAGCATATTCTGGCTTACCAGCTCACCTATAAAACTGCTTGCTTGGTCGGTAGAAAAGACATCAGATAGAATGATGCGAGGAGCTGGTGCTAGAATGAAGGTAAGAAAACAGGAGTCAATAAAGAAGTAGGGATATGATCATATCATTTAAAGATGAGAGACCACAGCAAGCATACATTCCTCCACCTTTAATAATTCAGAAATGAACATTATCACTTTAAAGAAGGGGTACTTATTAATCCATCTGAAAGCTTATGACCAGATGATATTCTGCAGGCAGAGCTCATTTTGAAGACGTTCCCATAGCTAGTGCCTCCACAGGAATTTATCACATGATTAATTTTTAATGTAACTTAGAGATTTCAAAGGCTGTATTTGAATAATGGTAATAATTAATAAATATTGGTTATCCTCACCTGGACAAACTTTCTTCAGAATCAGAACACTGTTTCCATCATTTTCCCCATGGTGTTACATACATTAACATCTCTCTGTCTCTCCGGTATATTTCAAAATGAAATACCAGATATAGCTTCCCTTTATTTTTAAGTTGTGACTAAGTTTTCTTCTTGAGATTTTTAAAACTGAATTTTGTTCCCTTAAAGTGGGGTTAAAATTATCCCTGGCAAGCCAGCAGATGTCTATGAATGTATTTACTGTGACCTTGCTCCAATGTTAACATAAAACCATGGTAGGCAGACCCTTACTGTTTCTTCGTTATCTTTTCTGGCCATGGCTAAGAGCCCAAATGATGCCACTTTACCAGAGAGGTATTCTGTACGTGCTTTCTACTTTAATCACATCCTTTCAACACCATGAATCTTGGCCTGACAGATTATCTTCTCCACAGGCAGGCAGCCACATCCAGACATTGATGGGGTCCCAAAGCCTTCAGCATCGCAGCCGGGAGCAGCAGCCATATGAGGGAAATATAAACAAAGTGACCATCCAGCAATTTCAGTCACCATTGCCTATTCAGATCCCCTCTTCACAGGCCACCCGGGGACCTCAGCCTGGACGGTGCTTAATTCAAACTAAAGGGCAAAGGAGTATGGATGGATATCCAGAGCAGGTGAGAAGCATTTCTTTATTATTGATGAATTTTCAGGAAAGAAAAGTCCAAAGAATCCATGATTCGCCCTCCCTCGTTAATATGGTCTAGGACACAACACCATCACCGTGTTGAATGAGGTGGGGTCCACTTTGTCAGGATTTTATCATTCTTTCCAGTGGTTAAGGACTACAATATATGGGATTTGTGGTTGGTAAAATACCCATTTTACGTAAGAAAAAATTGATGGGGCAGAATAGTTTTTCCAGCACTATCCTACACCCTCTTTTACCCACTCCTAACTCCAATTTAGCTCTATAGTACAGCTTTCGAATGTTATAAAGAGTTTCAATGGATTAGGTATATTTACCAAGACCTCTAGTAAAATCTACAGTGTGAAAATAAACTGTATTATTTCCCCCATCTGTAGGAAGATATCTTTTAAAATTCCTATCTTCTGATTGTTGAATAGTGCAAAGATAAAGCTTTATTGTGAAGATAATTATGAAGAGCAATTAGAAGGGAAATTTTTCTGACATGCTTCAAACGTTACCAGTAAACGCCATGTAGCAAAAAGAATTGCACTCTTCAACCCTATCTAAAATTAGGATTTGCTTTTCCACTGTAGAATCTGTTTTAGTTCCTTAGGACTGGAAAACTGAATGGGATTGCATCTGTTGAACTATATTAATCTTAGAAAGTAAAACATTAAGATCTTAATATACTCTTAAAATTAATTTCTGTTCATTATTTAGATAGATAGGCAACATTCCTACTGATGTTTCTAACTTTTAATATGGTCTATTAAAGTTTCATTTTATTATTACTTATCAACATTTTACATATCACTCCACCTGACTTTCTAAACATATCAAGATTAACTTCATTCTCCAGGTTTTCCCTTTATATTGTTAAGAGCCATTTATTATTTGGATTCCAGGGGCTTTAAACATCTCTTCTCTTTCTTAACATCCTTCATGAAGCCTGGATTATGCACTAATCATTCTCAGAATCACAGAAAATTTTTAAATTAATCACAGATAATTTTCTCCCTCTCCTGCTTTAATCTAGGTCAAGTGTTCAATTTAAGGTATAATAAATCAGACAAGTGCCTTTAATCAGATAATGATATGGAGTTTTTAATTCTCCAGATACTCTTAAAAGTTAATAAAATTTTAAAATTATGCTTTACCAAAGGCACCTTAGGAGGTTAAAAAATTGTTCATACATATGACTTGCCATAAGTATCATAACCTAGTTCTCTGATTTATTCTTATTAATAGCTACATAGATTTTTCCTCCCAGAATCAGTGCATTTGAAAATCCACTGAAATTAATGCTGTCTGCTTCCACCTACATTGAAAAGTAGGTTTAGTGTTAGCATTCAGTTATTCTGAACACCCTAAACTTAAAAGCTATTTTAATACTGTTTCCCAACAAATATGTAAATTATATAAAGTTTGACTAGTAAGAGGATTATTGAGTTTTAAACTTTACACATGTATTGAGTTTAGAACATTATGATTATTTCAGAAAAATGTATTTAGAGTAGCTCTCAAATGTTTTGATTCACAGCTTGATAACATCAAGTGCCTTTCAGACTGAGAGAGAAAATTTAAGCATTCAATTGAATGCTTAAACCTGCCTGCACTATAACTCAGAATTGTAGAACCACCTATATGTAAAGGAAAGGACTTAAATATAACATCTTTTGGTGTCCTCGTTTTTTCTGCCTTGCTTTCAGGCTTAAATGGTTTAGGATGTATTGTACATTTCAAAATAGCTAGAAGTGAGGAGTTGGAATGTTCTTAACACAGAGAAATGATAAATGCCTGTGGTGATGGATATCCTAAACACTTGACTTGATCATTACACATTCTGTGCATGTGACAAAATATCACATTCACCCCATAAATATATACAAATATTATTATGTATCAATAAAAAAGACTTTGGAGTGAAAGAAAACCTAAAGAGCATTTAAACAACCAGTTCTGGTCCCCAAACTATGCTACATGTCATCCCCAGTTATAAATCTTGAGTCAGTTTCTTAAAGCTATTTCCACAATTAGCCAGCTCATATTGGCTCATTGTCGTGTGCTCCTCTTCCCAAGTGCACCTTCAGTGACATAGTTATAGGCTGAAGTTGTGGGAAAAATTATACCAGGAAAATCAGCAAACACTCCGAATCAGGGCACTCCTCCAACCCCAACCAGCTAGTTATCAAATATCTTCCAGCACACCACTGACTACTACCCTGATTTCTTTCATCTCTTTTTTTTTTTTTTTTCCCTAACCGCTCCATTTCTTCATTTAGCTTAGTGTTCAAGAAAGAGATACTAGAACTAGGTCTCAGAATTTGGAGTTCTAGTTTCATGTTTATGTTTTTCAGCCATTTGACCTTGGCCAAGTTGTTAACTCTTCCCAAGAGTCTATGTCTCTCCTGATAAAATGAGAACATTGCTACGCACCAACAACATTCAAAAAGAATTTGTGAAAGTTAAATAATACAGTTCTACACACACACACATACACATACACAGAGTAAGCTTGGCACTGAGGGTATAGAAACAGAAAACAGAAGAAATAGAATAGTTTAAGAATTCAAATATTTGAAGAAACTTAATGATTATCATTCCCAACCTCCTACATCTACAGATAGAAAAATAAACCAAAAAACATTCAAAGAGGCTGACAAGGGTTATGTATTTCACTCTCATAATGAAACTATTTCATGTGTTTTTTACTTCCCTAAATTATATTTCTTTTGAAAATTCAGACCTTTTTAATAAGAATTTGTGGTTGCGTATTTTAAAGGAAGACTTTTATTTCAAATTTAGCAAGGGAAAAAAATGGAGAAAAACATGTAAAACATTTAAAGACTTTATGGAGTTTCACATGAAAATTATAGAGTAGTGATTTAAGTGCAAAGACCAATGAGGTAACATAAAATTTCTAGTGTAGATTTGGGGCATATAAATCAAAGCATTCTGTTTTAATAAGACATTTCTAGTGGTGCTATAAAAGAGCCATAAAGAGAAAATCAAAGTTCAGCTTAAATTATCTAATGACAATGGTAAATTTGGCCAGGTACAATATGGAAAAAACCTAAATCATTCAACATTTTTAAGAGCAAGGAGACAAAATAAACATGGCACAAAGAAAGTCTATTCAGCATAATAAAATACAACAATTTCTGTTAAAGTAAAGCTTGGAAATTTTAGTTAAACAATAGTCACTTATTGAAATACTACAGATTTTAAAAGCCTGATTGCAGTGAATACACATTTTTTGATTCAGGGAAAGGAAATCAGAATGAAAATAGTAAAGAAAAGGATGGCAGTTACCATATATTAAGCACCTGCTATGTGTTTGCACTATATTTCTCACACACAGGTCTGGCATCAGGGGCGTTTGACCTGTAGAGTTGCATAAGGTCCTACACTTAAAAGGCCCCTACATTTGGATTAACGCCCTGTTGTCACCATCTTGTAATTTTTAATAATTATTGATCAAGGAGCCCACGTTTTCATTTTGCATCAGGTCCAACTATTTATATAACTGGTCCTGCTTACTTACTGTTGTATTTAATCCTCATAATAATCTTATTTTCTTTTTACAAGTGAAGAAACCAAGGCAGAGAGAAAATAATTTATGAAAAGCATAATTGGCCAAGCTAGAATTTTAAGTCAGGTTTTTCCAGACCCCAATCCAAGTTCCATGTCCCAATCTTTTTGTAAAATTCACCGCATGATCTCAGTGCCCTCTCTGTCAAATGATATTAATTAAAGCTGCCTGAACTCAGAATTATAGAACTGCCATATGGAGTATTCAAGGGAATACAAGTGAATATTTCCAATTGCTTTGAAAAGCAAAAGCTACTGAACAAATGGGAACTTTTGTTAACAAAAACATACCTCTCTATACCTTAATGTCACTCAAAGAACTAGTGGATTTTTGACTCCATTAAAATAAGTTCCATGTGGAAATGAACATATACAATAAATGCCAAAACTGACAACATTGAATGAATTAGAATGAGTGTCATATGTTACCTAAGTGGAGTGTTGAACTTTGTTTAGCCATAAAGAAGCACTTAGTAAGCTTTGATATCAGTGATAAAACCATTTAAACTTTCAAACCACTCATCACAATAAAAAAGGGCAAAATAGTCAAGAACTCTAGAAACCTAAACTTCTAGTTTAATGCACTTATTTTCATGTTTATTTTTCAGAAATAATGAGTATCAAGTCTGTACTAAACTCTAGGTTTAAATTAAACAAAATATATGGAGGTTATGTTTCAACTACAAAATGTTACCCAGAATCAATGTATTAATTTCTGTAGACTGTAAATCTGATTTCAAATAATATTTGCAGCAAAAACCATGTGCATGTCACCTAAAGTTCATTATCAGGGTATTTTACTTGAAATGGAAATTTCAATTCATAAACCATTTAGATTACTGGCAAATATAACAAAGGGTAAGAGTCAGAGTTGTATTAAGTAGTGAACTGAATAAAACAGCCAGAAAGTGAAGGTTTGACTCCCATTCTACATGGAAAACTCTTAGTCAGAATATTCATCCTATTAGATCTTTCCTTTGTTTCCCACTGTAACTGAATAAGCTTAAAGATCCCATCCACCTTATCCTCCCCTTCACAATATCGTAATACTTTACATAAATTGTTCCCATCCACAGCTGTAGAATCTGTTCAGCTGCAGAATCTGCTTTACAAAACACAAATGTCTTGCTCTTATCCCCAAATAAACTGATTTTATTAGTCTGCATGTGTCCTGGGCAGTGAGACTTTTGAAAACTCCCCAAGGTGATTCTATTGTGTAGCCAAGGTTGAGAAGCACTGCTTTAGATATTCCATAGCTCAACAATTTATCAGCTGAATAATATATTGACAATATCACTATTTAAAAGCGTATATAAGTTGCCTATAAGCTGCTGGATATTTTTAAAAGAAACTAACATCAGCTTTGTTTTTCCCTTTTGTAAATGTACAAGACAG